TGCTTCAGGATTGGTTTGCATCGGCACCTGAATCAGTGATAGGGAGTGAAGCGGTTGAGCGTGTTGACCAGCTCACTTATCTTGTAAGTCTCGTCAGTGCTGATGGCCTGTTGTGTGACGAAATCACAGCACAGATACAGAAGCTCGACTGGTTTTTTTCAAATAGCGTCACTTTTGGTGTAGGTGAGATTTCCGTCTGCTCACCAAAGGACGAGTGTACTGCTCATAGTTCGCTCCATCCTACAATTTGGGTACTTAACATGGCCGGTGGTAGTGTCATAGCGCAGATGCATTCATTCTTTGTGTTCTCTCAGATCCTATTCTTCTGAATTCCTCGTGACCTTTTTTCTCCTTTTAAATTGATTCCACTGGATTATACTTCTCTAATTATACTTGCGATCCCTAATCTTTTCGATTTCCGGTAATACTATTACTGCTACCTGTAGCACCATAGAATTTTAACTGTCAATTCCTTCTGTCTGGTTAGGGTTAATGGGGTATGGCAACATGGACTGATTTATGCACGTATGAAGTCGTACTTTGTAGTTGGCTATTTAAATAATTTGATGATCGGTCCCTTTGGAGCGACCTACTTAAGTTGCTTCATAATCTCGTTCGCTAAGCTGTTGAAAGATTTGAAGTCCTTTTTTAGGGGCCAAGCCGTTTAATTATCTGATTTGTGTTTTGAAACTGATTGCTTTGTGTTGGCAATGTAAACTGCATCGCCGGAGTAAGTAAACTGTTAGATGTGCATCAATTTTGCCCAAAGCTTAAGCAAATGATTTCGGCGAAAAACACTTCTTCAATGAATGATATTTTTGTCCAGTGACACAATATGTTACTTGAATTCATCATAATCGAAAATCTATCCATTTTTTAAATGAAATAAACAGTGAACTAGATTCACTCTATGGTCTCCAAATGCAGATTTCCATCAAATGTTCTTTTTGGATAGTTTAAAGCGAATTGAAGCTATATTTCACCAAAAACCACGTTGAATCCCGTCAGATGCAGATATCAGAAGACTATCTGCGATTGGAATTAAGGCATATTCGTTTGTGATCTCGTGGTATCGAAATAATACCAAGATCGGACCGGAATATTCAAGCGGGACTACCAAGCGTACGAGGGCAAACCCAAGGTTAAGTAAGGAAGATGTGTGTTTTTGGTACAAATAAACAAAGCGGTACAGCAAAACAATCAATGGTACAATTGGTTATAATGATAAACGTTTTTAATAAACCAATCGTGTTCTCTTCATATAAGTGGATTCACTACAAGTTAATGGTTTATAACTATTTCGATATTAATAAAAAAAAAGGTAAAAGTTTTGTCAACCGAACACTTCTTAGTAATTTTATTACCTATCGATATACGTGTATTTGCATAAATACTGTGCGTAATAAATCGTTAAAGCAGATTTTCTATATACAAACAATTTATTTTCATGCTGAGCCTACCCTGTCAATATGATTTATTATACAGCGAGGTGTTTCACATTATCTTCTTAATAGTCTTTATCTCTTCTGACCTTCCAATTTGTCATTTTGCTTTTTCATCAATAGGTATTCTAATAGGTGTATGTGTGATTAGATTGTTTGGATTGTACTGCTTTAATATAATATATCTAACGTATTTTTCCGTTATAGCAGCAATTAATTAAAAATTTGTAAAATGGTGTTAACTCCGCCGATGTTTCTTCTGAAAACCAGAGCATTAATGAATATGGATACATGGAATATTCTCACAATGTGGGAGACCGGAGCATGGAATGCAGTGGATAACTAGAATACAGCTAGATGGTTTGAACTTCGCAGATGATACAGCCCGTATATCCCACATTCTACAACTAGTGCGTATGAAGTCGGTCAGTGTCGACATACACAAAGGGAAAAGCAAGATCCTCCGATACGACACAGTATGCACCAACCAAATCACGCTTGATGGAGAAGCTCTGCGGCAGAAGGAAACCTTTGCGTATCTGCTCAGCATCATTGATGAGCACGATGGATTTGATCCAGATGTGAAGACATGGATTGACAAAGCAAGAGCAGCATTTTTACAATCGAAGAACATGTGGAACTTAAAACAACTGACACCAAGCCCAACATTTTCAATAGGTCATTTGCACAGAGTGGAAACTTGGAGAACTATCATTCATAAGATACAAGTGTTTATTAACAGTTGTTCACACAAGATTCTGCAGATCCGTTAGCTAGACACCATCAGCATCCACCCAATGTGGGAGATAACAAACGTGGTTGAGGCTGAGCAAAAAATTCGGAAAAAGCGCTGGAGGAGTATAGGACACCGATTGCGAAATCACCCAACTGCACCACGAGGTGAGCCCTATCTTGGAACCTTCAAGATCAAAGGAAAAGAGGTAGATCGAGGAACACATTACGCTGAAATTTGAGGACAGAAATGAAAGAATGAATTGCAATGAAGTAGAACTGGAAGGGAAGGCCCAGAACAGAGTTGGTTGTACAATGCTGGTCGGTGGCCCATGCTCCACAAAGTGTGAGATGTTCAAGTCAGTAAGTGAATTAATTCTCTTTTGTCATGATAAGTTAAGTTTCAATGTCTAAAAGAATTAATCTCCAGTCTCGCGAACAACCATAGATATTTGAAATCATTTGTCAAACGAAATTTAATAAAATAAAAGTTGGTTGAATGTTGTTGACTCGTGGCTGAAATTATTTCCTTCCAGACTAATAGGTTGAACATTGTTTTTGTGTTCTTTTTCATATTGCCTTTGACATTAATATTATGGTGTATTAAGTTTTCAGTCCAACACCCCGTGAATTTGTACTGAATCTTACTGTGATTTTATCAACAACTTTAATCCTGAAATGTTTTATCTAATTGTTCAACTGTCTATTAGACATTTTTCAAAATATGGTATTGAAAATAATGTCAGGTGACAAATGTACCTGATTTCATAAATAAACAAACCTCGAAATCAAAATAAAGTAAAATCACGTTTTGACCAATTATTTACAGAATTCGTGTCTATCAACCGATTGTTAAGAAACGGCTTTATTGACCTTGGGATTTATTATGGTTTTTGAATACATAAAAGGCAAATCACGTGTAGATATATAATTTTCATACGGTCTAAATCTCCAACAAGCGTGATATGGTTTAAGTTTACTATGTTGTATCGGAGGAAAATGCTTTTTCCGTTGTGTATGCTGAGACCTATTGCTGCCGAGAATACAACTATTTTCGGACTTCGACACTTGTGCCAGCATTCCAGAACCTGGCGAAGTGTGAATATCTGATCTAGACATCCACGTCCTAGTCTGAAACCAGCCTCGTTTTCTCGAGTATGATCTTCACGAGCTCCGGTTAGGCGTCTAAGCATTATCGAGGCTGACATTTTAGACACTATATTAGTCAAACTAATTCCTATGTGGTTGTCACAAGAGGACTGTTTCCCTTTCTTATAAACTTGGACAATCAGTTATTGAGACCAGTCAGATGGAATGACGTTCAGTTCCCAGATTCTGCCTGATATCTCAGTCAACCTAACTGCTGAAACTGGACCACCATCCTTAAGAATCTCAGGGTTTATCTATCAGGGCCCGCTGCTCTACCTCCTCACCTTAGATTGCCTATAGCCTTTGCAACTCCATTGAGAGTTGGAAGAGTACACCAACTTGCCATTTATATTGACATTACTTGGTGGGTAGTGGAAGTGAGGATCAAGGTCAGTTGAATTGATCCCTAGTGTTCTGCCTATCGATCCAGTGTCCTGGACGAAGAATGAATATTAACTGGCTATTCATTTCTTCTTCAAATGCAAAATTAATATACTTTCGAAGAACGCTGAGTTCATCTAACAAACAGTTCGCGTCTTCAGACCTATCATTTATAACTAAGATAACATCCACGAAACGAATCAGCTAGAAGTGTATATATAGTTCTGTACACAATTTTGAAAATCTTTATCTTCTCACTTTCATCGTCCAGATTTTCCATAGCATAAAAAAGTTATAACGTACCTGATTTATTTATCTCTTCAAATATATGTATACAAATAAAAAGATTAGATTCGGTTGTGATGGAAATGATCAGACATGCGAACCTACTTTTTTCCTTCCAAGAATTCAGTATATTGCTATTGCTAAGCCACTCTTACTAAGCTTCTCAAGCTTTCGAATTCAGAAACATTCTTTGTTTATACGACGAAAAATAAAGCCCTTTCTTGATCAGTTTAAAGTGTTCTTGCTTACTCATCAACTTAATTTTCTGCAAAAAAGCATTTTCAAATATCTAGCAATGTATTTTTTGCCCAAGTAGAGCGTTACGTGGAGCCGTAGAAACGTTACTGTACATCCAACTTGAATGTTTCTATTTTATCAAAAGTTAAATTAAAGACAGCAAAAATATGTTTAAGATCAATCATAAGGATACAAGTATATAATGAACAGAACTTATCCAGAATTTTAACCAACATACATTGTGCCACAGAAGACAAATAGAATTAAAAACCAATATCATTTACTTTTACTTAGTTCTTCTAGAGACTGATAAAATTTAAACTTTCGGAATCCTGACCTTAGCTAGACCACCATTGAAGGGCTGGAAGTACTGGACGGCCGTTCTTTCCTAGTATGAGATCCCCAACACTGCGTATCCACGACCCCACAAGCACGAATCGGACCCAGGACCTTTGGTCTCGTGTGCGAACGCTCAACCACTGAGCCGGTACCCGACGATGTTAATGTCTAACTTCAATCAATCTATGATTTTGTGCAACTTTTGGATTGCCCGATTAACTTTCGGCCCACTTACTAATCAAGCTTATGCTTTTCGTTGAACCTGTCAAGTAGAATAATGGTTATTTGACACCAAAAACTTATTGTAACTAGACAGAAGTGTATTGCCAAACTTACTCAGTTCTTTATTACATAATATTCGCCATTTTTCGATAAAGAGCAGGGATTTCATCAATTCACTTAGTCGATTGGTTTCCAGTAATTGTTTACAAAGAATACAAACAAACAAAAAATGTATTTAAAACGTAAACAGTACAGAAATTAAATACTTTGTTACGTTTTGTTTACATTTCCGTTATGTTTTACAATTTTTAATAGATACATATGCCGATGAGACATTTATATGATAGCAATAAAATATGATTTATGAAAGACAGAATTTAGTTGGTTTATATTCGCCGTGAAATGATGAGATTTCTTAAATAAATTAGGGAAAAATATATATATAAACAATTTTAAAAAAAATCACAGGAAAGAAAAGGATGATTCATTACTGAATTGTAGTAGATGGTTCAAGTACGGTTCTCTGAGAATTAGAAACCCAATCACGTCGTTGTACACTATTTTCATAGAAAGATTTTGATGTACGATTAAATAGTGGAATCAGTTCATAAGCATCTTGTGACTTTCTTTTCAAGTAAACCAATGCTGATGTACCTACACCTTCAACAGAATGCAAATTTAAATTACCACCTAAATATCTAGCATACAGTCTACTTAATGGTAAACCATGTCCTCTTCCAGCAATACCTGAACAAGCATTACGTTCTGATTCAACTTCATATGTCATTCGATCATTTGCTTTAATCTGATTGACTGATTGATTCGTTGCATAATTGTCCCCGAAATTTAGTACAGTAGGATGTGAGTTTGCAGGATGAACAGCTGTTGTAAAATTGTATCGAAATGTTTTTTCAACCATATTTAGCGCCATTCCTCCACCAAAATCTGTAACCTGCAATAAAAACAACTTGAAATTTACTATCAAATCGGCAATAAAAGATTGAATAGTGTCCTGGTTTATTTCAATAAAGAAACTGTAGGATAATGTGAATATATTTGAAATTTTAACACACTTGTGATACGAAGTGATAAATAAAAAGATTCAGAACTTCACAAAAGTGTTAGTGTTCGACAGCCAAATTAAATAAGGACATTGATGAGCACTTCACCAGCAGAAGTAGTGGAGAAATTTGGCGAACTCCAAACACACCAAATGTATGAGCGTCAAAGTTTTATCAGTGAAACATATACAACTTAGCCAGTTACTGAAACAAGTAAATCTCATTAAAACAGAATGATCTAACGTCTGTGGAAATGCGAAATCCGATAATACGTTGAGTTTTTGAATTGTTTCTTTAAGTTATCCGAATTGACGGAAAGATAATGTTTAAGCGGTCCAACTAAAGGTTGAAAATATTAATCAGTTAACTGAAAGAAATTCTATGAATCAACAACTAAAATTCTAAATTAGTTTAGTAGTTTGTAGAAAGTTACCAAGAAAACTACATGAAAAAACTTCAAAATGATTGTAAGGTCAAACCTATGAAACAAACTAGCCAAAAAATTTCAGTTAGGTCATCAAGTATCATAACTTATTCAGACCATGAACAATAAATTTTACAATGATATATCAGAATGAAAGCTTGGTGACTGTCATTAATGAGATTTTGCACAAAAATACATGGGGACATGATGCTAACCGTTTTGGGGAAGAGTAAACCAGTTACCTAAATTTTATCCATTTAACTACATGTAACTAAACTCACTTGGGAGCTATAAAACCCAGGAATGAAAACAATCATGATAGAAAGATTCGGTTTCGAAGACAACGAGAAAAACATAGGATACGAAATAAAAAGTAAATACTATACTAGATCAATTGAAAAAATGTGAAATTATGTTTAAGGCAACCATATTAATTGAACAACAAGGAGAGCTGGTGGCACTTAAATACTATTACTTAAGTAACCACTTGGTCTTCGTCAAATAAAACATGATTTTAACTTAAACCGAACCCAAGCTTATTCGAAACAGAGAAATACCCAACCGTATATTATAACAGCACTGCATTCATTTTGACCACTAGTACGAGAAAGGGCTGTTGTATCGAAATAAGAAACAACATATAATGGCCTATTTACGCGTAAAGATACTACTAACAATTGATTTAATCAAAGCATTGCGAATATAGAAGGCCTCAACATAAAAAACGAGGTAATTAGTTTACAATTTTGAAGTGATGAGAATGAATTCTAACGGTACGTGAAGTGATACATAACAGGTTGAAAAACCTTAAGCTCCGTAGTTATGAGCACAATATTTCCATAAAATACATTTGTTCACTTTATCTAAACAGTTGAAGCACTCTATTTATAGCATCCCTTAACTTACTTTTTGAGAAACTTAGCGGATTGTATCATTGCTTTCAAGCAACAGCGAGTCTGTCACAACCTAACCCGAAGCATAAAGATGGTTGGTATAGTAGTAAGTAATAAGAAAACTGCGAGCAACTGCTGCATATCATCCTTGAAAATAATATCACTTTCTAGCTGCTGATTAGCGATTACTGTAGATAAGACATTAGCTTTCCCAAAACTTTTCAGTTAATTTATATACAATTTGAAAATTGTAAGCAGGTAATGTAGTGGCCCTGGGTTATAGACGATTCGCTGTGTACGTGGGAATACTCAACTTTGGTACAAAATATAGATATGAGCACATCGTGATCCGTTTGCATGAGAAGATGACCAGTGTAGCAGCAGCCTCAGGAGCAGTAGGTCTCGACATACACAAGGGAAAAAGCAAAGTCCTCCGATGCAACACAACATGCACCAGCCAAACCACACTTGACGAAGCTTTGGATGATGTGGTAACCTTGAAATATTCGGGCAGCATCATTGATGAGCGGTGTGGATCTGATGCAAGTGTGAAAGTGCGGATTGGCAAAGCAAGGGCAGCATTTCTACAATCAAAGAACATGTGCAACTCAAAACAACTATCAGCCAACACCCAAGTCACAATTTCAATACCCATGTCAAGACGGTTCTACTCTATGAGGCGGAAACTTGGAGAACTACGAAAGCCATCGTCCAGAAGATACAAGCGTTTATTAACAGTTGTCTACGCAAAACACTTCGGATCCGCTGGCCAGATACCTTCAGCAACAACCCATTGTAGGAGGGAACAAACAAGATTCCAACAGACGAAGAAACGAGGGAAACGTGCTGGAGGTAGATAGGAAAAACTGAGGAACGCAACGAACTGCATCACAAGTGATCAACTTGGAATCCTCAAGGCCAAATAGAAAGTGTAAGACCAAAAAATACATTACTCCGAGAAACGGAGACAAACATGAGAAGAATGAACAACAGTTGAATAGAACTAGAAAGGAAGGCCCAGGACAGAGTAGACTGAAGAAGGCTGGTTGGTGTCTTAAGCTCAATTAGGAGTAACAGGCGTAAGGAAGTAAGTATGACACTGAGCTTCTCTAGCCAGCCTAACTTGCTATCAACTTCTTCAATAACTACAAATGTTACATCGGGGCGGCCAAACCAAAACATGGCACAAATTCATGAAGTCACTGACAAGTGGACTGAGTCATGTTGGTAGATGTAGGCTACGTGGTTGGGATCCACGAGACGAAAGTCACCGATGGTTAGAGACCTTGAGTGACATGTCTCAGAATCGTTTGCAATGGTGCAGGTGCATCCACTCTTTGTGTTCTATGAAATTCTAACCTTCTGAATTCCTCATAATCTCTACCTTTCTCCTTCTAAATTTATCTCACTGAATTATATTTCTTGAATCATATCTTAGAACCCTAATATTCTTTCATTACTGCTAATTCTTCTACTATCTCCACCACTATGGGATTCGAACTGATATTTGCGTCGCTGTTCTAATGTGGTATGGCAACCTGAACTTATGTACTTACGTACGAACTTCTACGTTGTAACTGACTGACTGACTGAGATATGAGACTTAATGTATAGGAGGAAAAACAGGTTTCACACCTTGCCACAAGCATAATTTCCTCTTCCCAATTGCGGAGAATACCAACCTGTTCTAGAACAACTTTTTGAGTTTTCGGTAAAGGTCTTTTACCGTTATAGCTTCCGTAGTTGTGTGAATGATGGACAAGTCTCTATGACTATTTGAGCTTTTTAAAGTCCATATTTCGCTTAACGGCACATCCCAAATTTAGTTTGTCAGTTTAATCTATGCCAATAAGATTCACATATCGTCTGTTCGCTAAATAACGATTTCCCGTAAAATAATTATCTCCAAATAACACAGAAGAATTTATTGTTTCAACAAGCTTTAGTGTATCTCCAGATGCATTTCAGGTTGCTTGTTCAGTTGGAAACACATGTGGACGTCCCATTGTAATTGAATTTAAACACCGTTAAATAATAATTTCATATGCCTTTTTTGATCCGATATATTTAATACCAGTGTAGTATATATGCTGTTTAGATCTAAAATGCTGATAACTTGATGGAAATTGACTTCTCGGAGATATTTAGATAGAATATAATTTCTGTACTTTCAATGGTCACTGGGACCAGGCTTTCCGTAGCCGCGATAATACCTCTTTTGCATTATCCATAATGACAAATTCTAATCTGAAAATATTTTTTCTGCCAAACCATGCTTCAAGGATGTGGCCACTATCTGCACCAAAAATAAATTCTGGGATGGAACTGAGATATGATACTATACTTTAGTGTTCTAGATTACTTGAATGAATATAACTTTTCCCCATTACTACTTTCACAACTTGTTGTTGAGAAGCTAACCTGCTGTTGCTGTTGCGAAAGTGACTGCAAGTGCCTTTAGCCGCTTTAATACAAAAAAGCTAACAAAAAATATTTGGATCGATATGATGAATTTTGGATGCAGACTACCATCTTTTTTTCTTGCTTCGAAACCTTTATCGCCGATTTTGCCGTCTTTAGCGAAAAGCCGAACCAAGACATAGAATCAGTCCATAGAGTCATAAACTTTTAATGCAAGCAGTGTGAAGATTATTGACTGCCTGTTCGGGGTTCATGGGACAATGATTATTGATTGAAGACTATAGATGACATAGACTAAAATCATTAACCGTGACGGAAATGTGCTCTTTCCTCAAATTTGAATATTTAATACTTTTTATTACTTAATTTTAATACTCTTTTATGGATAAATCTCTGTTTAGTCACTCTACTAAAGTTTACACCATTGTTCGTTGAACACCTTTGTCATGTACCTTGTTATTTTCTTACTGTGGTGAGATGTGGTCAGGAAATCAGTCCTAATATGCCTGGGACTGACATATAAGACTGATTTCATGTACATTCATCGGCAACTTTTATATTGAAATGGTTAGGATTAACAAGACTTTAAATCAACCAGGAATACAGAAAATTGTTATCATCAAGGTCAGTGCTCAGGAATAATTTAAGCTTGAAGACTTACGATAGAATTTCCGAATGCATTTTATTAAAAGAATCTAATTAGAAAGAACCACCAGGACACTACAACATGGTGGCATTATGAGTCGAAAATATTTCACTAAAATTAGGCTGAACTGCTCACCTTAATAACAATATCTTCAAGTCCGTTGCAGATAAGAATGTTTATTCTTGGCAAATGCACATCATTAGTATGATTTTCGGTAACAGCTCTCATCGAATTTTTCAATAATTCATACAGTATATAAAACAAATGACCAGGTATATAGCAAAATGTTATGTCTTTCCCTTTCACAGACAAATCCGCGCAATTCATTTGGTTGTCCAAAAGATAAGATTTGGTCGATGCATAACCGGCTGCATCCACATGAAAATTAATTATGTTGGAATTACTAGATGTACACTCTTTATCTACACGATCATAAATTTCAATGTCACATCCGGGCGCACGACCATACGCCTGCATACACAGTAATCTGGAGTAATTATATGCATTTACTGCGATTTGAACTGGGCTACAATCTGGATCGATGCCCCCAACATGGGATTTTATGTCGCAGAGTGTGGGTCCATATAGCATGACTGTAATGGTCAGAGTTCGGTACATACATGTGCAAAACAAGACCACATGAAAAACCAATATATGGACATATCTTTAAATGACTTAGACAGATAAAACTTAGATTTTTATGTAGTTACACAAAACCGTATACGAATTCATTTATTAGGAATTTAGATGAATCAAACAACTTGGCCTAACAATTTATCGTTGGATAATAAGTTGGAGAAATGAAATGAAAAATATAACTAAAACTCACACTCGAATTGAAATCATACTACCAGGAGAGAAATTTTACTAGATCATGTGATTCGGTTCAGGTTATCATCACAACATATGCAACAGCAAATACAGGGGAGTGGAAATAATGATACTAATACTAGAGGAAAATGACATAGAGCTAATTAGGAGTGGCCCAACAAGAAGGACATTTGACGAGTGTATATCACTGGTTAAGAAATAAGTTATGAGGGCGGAGTATATATATGAAATATATATGGAGAGAGTATTTGCACATATTGGTCGGTAGCCAAACACGCTTTCTATCTCACTCTTGCCCCAGCACTTGAATAGTGAGTTTGGGGGGTTAGTGCATATCACACCCAAATTTGAGACATTCCACATGATAACATAAAACTAAAAAGAAAAAAGGTTGAAAGTAACAAAAGTCGAAAGTTGAAATGTAAAGAAAAAGCCTAGCTTAAACCGTTTACGAAGAGAAAGTATTGGATCAAGTTCTGGGTCACCAATTGTGTACAGTGACATAAATTCCTACACAATAAACTAGAGGTATTCAACAGATAATCACTCCATATACAACTCAGATCAACAGACAATAACCTCGCACATAGATGCTAAATTGTGGTTTGACCATCCCCCAAACATTTACCATCCTTTGACCGCTAGGCCAAAAGTATTTGGTGGCTTGCCAAACGTAACACACTTTTCCACCAACTACGTTGGTGAAGGTCTAGAGACTCGTAATGTTAACACTTTATCCAATATTCGAAAACCAACAATACTATTCACTAAGTGAGTTTGCTATACGAGAATAGCACTTTGAATATGCTAAGATCAAATACTAGCAGCTTACTCTTAAGGGTCCTTTGTAGCATCTTATGTAATACAGGGTGTACTGATGATGGATTATCTCTTTGATAACTAGAATACATCTGATCCCCACCAAATTCTGCTTACTCTCTTGTCGATTGAATAAGCTTTGGTGTCCGGATTTGAACCGATATACATTATCATTATATCTTAAGCCGTTTGTGCTAACATAGCACAAGCTGGCGTATGTCAAGTGCGATGGACACTTTTAAACAACCATCTGAGGTTAAAAATCTGTAAAAGCTCATAGAGAGATAACCGGGACTTATCAGTAATCCTTTTTTCACATTTAAGTGACAGTTCATTAAAAATGCTCAGTCTATTACGTTTTGTTTTTCGAAGTCATATAGTTCTTGTCTACTAAACATACTATGAACCATGACGATTTGATAATAGATTATCTAAGAACACAATCAGGAGGTTACCTTACTCTTATGCACTTTTATCATGAAATGATAATATCAAATACATCTTTATACTAGTGATACAACCAAGAGTCTCTAAATGATTCGCTTCAGTATATTGTTGACGACACGACATTCAGCTTATCGGCTAGGTAAGGCTGAAAGCAAAAGAATGACCCATCGGACAGTTCTGGGAGACAAAACTGGGAGTTTAATTTTAGGATACTGAAACCGATAAGTTTTTCCTGAGTTTAGATCATTAAGAAACCAACGACAAATCACTAATATAAAACAAATTTCTAATTCAAGTTATATTGCTATCGAATAGTTTAAAATGACACGTAGAATTTTAACTCCGCAAGAAAAAAATTCTAAAGAGTTGGCTAATAAAAATTGTTCTTTCTAACCACTTTTCCTAATCAGATTATCACTTGGTACTTTAAAACGATGGGGAAATGAAGGTCCGCAAACTCTTATTCTGAAATGCAGTAAAAAAGCTTAATAAAGTCAGTCATTGTTCAGAAGAACAATGAAAGCTCCACAACCAAAACATCCAGCTAAGAGAACCAAACACCACCACAATCATCCACCTGAGCTACAAATTTCTCCACCATCTCAGATAAATAGAGTACAGTTTCACAAAGAAAATTCATACTCAAAAACAACACATTAGATTTGAGTGATCACCCATAAAACGTGAACAAGTATATAACTAGATAGATAAATAGATATAAGTGCGTAGACTAGTACCAATTAGTGCAAGCTACATATTATTTGTATGGTTAGACAGAGAGCATGAAAAACATTTTTGGCAATCGATCTAGCTTTGGTCATCAGTTAGTCAGTTACAATGTGGAACTCCACCTGTAGAACCTTCAGGGATACTGTCAGTACCAAGCCCGGATAAAGGAGGAGGGTTGGGATTGAAATTGGCAACCTAATCCCGCAAAAAACTAACTCGCTAAAAAAACGCTAACAAGAAAAAACAATTTAAACCATATAAACGCCGCTCTGGGAGTTAGAAGGTCTTCATTTAGGAGAGATGACGTTTTATGATGAAAGCCGACTCCCTTCGGAAGTTACGAGGACGATGCCCCTTCTGACAACCAGAACCCTCCCACGGTGTGGGCAGCCTGGAAGTTACATCCGCCCTCATACCCATAAAAGCACACGAGACATAATCCATCAGAATCAAATCCCTTCAACACCTAATAACTATTTTATCTCCTCGACCAACTCTTTCTCCGATCGTTTGTCACCTCGCGCCACTGAAGCAAACAGTTTGATCTTACAAGAGATTATTATTGGACTCCTGGAACCCCCTCCTAAATTACATCTTGGAGCTTTTAATATTTGGACCGTGTGCCAAATAGGGCAACAGGCTTCATTAGCCAGAACTCTGGAATCCCGGGCGATCGGTGTATGTAGCGTCTCCGAAACGCGCATACAAGATCAGAGTAAAATCATCAGTTTGATTTCACCTAGCGTAGATATAGAAACAACACGGTTCACAATTCGTGTTACAGATAGCCCTGATGCTGCTTCCCATGGCCTTGCCGGCGCAGGTAGAGTATCAAGTCACAGGACAGAACTAGCTCTTTTAGACTGGATTCCGGTAGACTCGCTTATGCGTTGTCCGACTAAACGGGACGGTACGGACTCGTAAAGATAAAGAAACTCGTCGTTGCCTCTTCGTCGTATCTGCCTACGCTCCCACTGACTGCAGTTCAGACGACATATAAGACAAATTTTAAAGAAACCTCTCTAAACGTCTTCAGAAAGTTGAGCGCTCTGATATAGTAATAATGACTGGTGACTATAATGCTCAAGTAGGTAGACTAGGTGAAAAGGAATGACACATGGGTGGATCTTATGGTTTCGCGGCTACTCGAACAGATAATGGCAACCGTCTGCTGCGACTATACTCAGATAACCGCCTATTCCTAGCAAAATACTAACTTTAAGCATAGGGTAAAACACTTTTTGATCAGGCGACCTCCAAAGACAACCCAACGATGGATCCAACTAAATCACATCGCTATGAGCCATCGGTGGAGAGGCTCAATTGCAGACTGCCGCTCATTCTGGAGCCCATGTTTAGACTCAGATCATGCTGCAATGCTAGCGCGTATTTGTGTGCGTCTTACGGGATGTAAGTAAATTATTGAAAGGAAACGCCTTGGGGCTCTAATTAATGGTCGCCCCTAGCTTTCTTTCAACCTATTCCTACACCAAAAAACATAGCTCGACGAGGCAGTCGGTAGTTAGGCGTACGCAACACATGTCCCAACCACCTCAACTGATGCAGTTTCTGCACTTCATCTGTTGATATACCACCCTTAACTAAGGCCCGTTTTCTAACTATAGCATTGCTTACTCGGTTGTCCCACGATACTCAAGCAACGCTTCGGAGACACCTATGATCAAAGAAGAGCAACCTACGAATGTCTTCTACTCTGACTGGCCATATTTCACAGCCATAAAGTAGGACGGAGCGAACTACTGCGCAGTACACTCTTCTTTTAGTCAACAAAGGGATATCTCGCCTACATCAAAAGTGACACAAGTCGAAGAAAGCCAGTCGAGCTTCTGTATCTGTGCTGAGATTTCGTCACACAACAGGCCATCAGCACTGATGCAACTTCCAAGATAAGTGAGCCGGTCAACACGCTCAACCGCTTCACTCCCTATCACTAATTCAGGTGCCGGTGCAAGCCAATCCTGAAGCAACATTCTCAATATCGACGGGGGGAACTGCATCCCGAGCATGCTTGCATTTTTGCTTAAGGTAGTCAGGAGACACTGCATTTTGTTAGTCTTCACCAAATACAACTATGTCATTGGCATATTCTAACTCGACCAGTGGATCTCCTGTGGAAGATCAGTTCCTGAAAAGTCAGATGACGGGTGTCGTGTCTAAAAGCATGTCAATGACAAAATTAAACAAGAATAGATGGAGAGAGTGGACAACCCTGACGGACACCACTTGAAGTAAAGAATTCCGGTGACACTTCGCCATAAGCTCTCACTCGACCAGTAGTGTTTGAGTAGAGAGCTTGTATAATAAGGTTAAAGTACTTCTTTTGTTTCACGAGCTCCGGTTAGGCGTCCAAGCATTATCGAGGCTAACACTTTAGACAATATATTTAGTCAAACTGATTCCTATGTGGTTGTCATAAGAGAACTTTTGTCCTTTCTTATAAACTGGGACAATCAGTGATTTAGACCAGTCAGATGGAATTACGTCCAGTTCCCAGATTTTACCTAATATCTCAGTCAACCTAACTGCTGAGCTCGACCACCATCCTTAAAAGTCTCAGGGTTTATCTATCAGGGCCCGCTGCTCTACCTCACCTTAGATTGTATATAGCCTTTCCAACTCCATTGAGAGTTGGAGGATTACACCAACTTGCCATTCAGATTGACATTAAATCGTAGGTAGTAGATGTGTTGTTGAAGGTCAGTTAGACTGATTCCTAGTGTTCTGCCTATAGATCCAATCTCTTGGATGAAGAATTAATAACAGTACCATCTTTTTACGATTTCTAGTACCGGTTTCCTTGATAAGTCAGTTGTCTGTTTTTTCCATCTCTCTTGCCTTTACAGCACACCACTGATCGCGATCATTGAGTAGGCTTTTTAAAAGCTTGCGCTTAAGCTGACTCCACTCCTTATCAAGTTCATAGCCAGATGGGATGAGTTTCTGAGCACCTATCAGTTCAGTCAATGCTACTGAAATCCCGTTTCTCCCTAACCTTATAGTTTGCCTTGCTGGCAGATATCACTGCTGTCTTCAACTGGGTATCACTTACATGGTTGCGCAACTGTTTTTCTAATTGCTCCTGAAATATACTTTTGGTTTTGCGAACGTTTAGCAGAACTCAAAGGGATTTACTTGGTCTCTTTTACGTACTAGAGCATGATCTGAATCCAAACATGTGCTCCATAATGAGCGGCCATCTATCGAGCCTTTTATCAGTGGCTGATTACAATATGGTCTAGTTGAGTCCCGCTTTCATTATATGCCTAAAATTTGGAGTGTATTTTTGAACAACATACATTAAAGACGGTTTTGACAAGAAATCAGAATTTGTTAGCTTGATATGGATTTAAAGAACGGGAAAACAAACACATCTTAGTCGAACTTAAATTAGATAATGCTTTGTACGACTGATGGTTCACATATACTACACTATGATTGTATCGAATCGTTCTTCAAAATGAGAAAAAACATTCCGTCAGTCAAACGATGTATAAAACTCGGTACATTTTGTTATTAGTTCACGTTTAGATGACCCATTAGTACATTGAGATGAAATTTTCGGGGTAAATCACGGAATATGAGAAAAAGTGTTAATGGTTACACACAGTATTAGGTATGATACAATTCAGGAAAATACAGATTAGTAAAGCAACGGAAAGAAGCCAGGACATTTAGAAACCTGAGATCTAAGAGGAAACACAGAGTGTATGCACAAGCGGACTGAGAACGATTTTATTCAGTCGTCCTCGTTATGGTGATTATGTCGACTCCAACAAGATTATTCATACCCACGGAGCAGTCCGATAGTTACAGTCCGTATGAACTGATGCCACACTTTGGTTTGGGTGCCCATAGCCTCCTTATGAATTAATACATCAGTCATCATTCCAAGGTAAGATAGTCAATGGTACGTATCTCGGTCATCTTAGTCCCGAAATATACGGGCACTGCCGTATTTGAATAGCAGTAATCTACCAACATCCTACTTCTAAGTATAATATCTTATATCCATAAACAAGAACAAAAGTGGAAAGCTGAGTAGTAGTTGACAAACGGATATCTCATCTGCTCCACATGTGACATAGATTGAGAATACACAACAAAAAATACCCATCTTTAGGTATGGAACCCATTACTTTTAAACGAGTTACAGAAATACACATGAAAATAATCTACTAAGTAAGCGAGATAAACTTACAGTGCTGGTTCAGTAAAGTCCGAATACCAATTCTACTCACGTAAAAACGATCCAGAAAATACTGTAGCTGTAACTCTTGCGACTCAGACCACGATTTACTATTCTGAATGCTTTTGATACCCTTTACCATAAGACTAAATGTAACGGGCTTACCAATGCCATTATTTCAACTACCCTTGAATGCTTTTGTAAGATAAGATCAACATCGTCGGTAAATCTGGATAGAGTAGAAGATTTTGTTGAACAACCTTCGTACTCGATAAGTCTGTTAAAAGTCTCCTCATACCTGTTTAAATAAAAAGCAAAATAACCAATCTTACAATAAATATATCTGTTGGATAGTTTTCGACTTCTTTAAAATGTCAGGTAAAAGATGAATCTCCTGCATGATGTTCCCTAAGCGAACTGGGAGTTCATATTTCAAGAAACTGAACGACTTGGAGGCTGGCGCAGTTTCACCTTGAAACAAAATTGCGTTAGATTAGCTTACTAAAATTTACCAAATAATAGAAGGTTTTTTAAACTCAAGGAGACCGGGGTGAATTTACTATAGTGCTCTATCATCTTCCCCAACTTTCCGGTTAACCTACAGATCTTCTTCACGCCCATCTTAGCCAACTACGTTTTCTTTGAATATTTTTTCTAGGTCTTTCGTCAAGAACAGAACTGTTAATGTCGTAATTGCGTTGGCAGCGTATGTACGTAACAGGTCTCAATAAAACTAGGGTATTTAAAGGATGAAGACGAAGGAGATCCAGGATTGACTTTTGTCACGTAAATTATCCAGAATGACTCACAGTTGACTCAGCAATTTCGTTAAAATATACACAAGCAGGCCAAAGAGCATAAACTCCAATACATTTGCAGCGCGCGCCTGTAAGTACGACAGTTAACGACTATTATTGGTCAACACGGAACAAGTTCACTATCCAATATCTTTTTCACGAGCTAGTGTAAACCAATTTGATTTCTTCGCGCTCGATTCTTGTTCTTTCGGTACGGTTCCAGGTGTTCGGTAATGTCCAATGGATGTAGGTCTAGCCACTCGTCTGTCTAATTCTAGTCAGTTGGCAGTTGGTTGTCAGTTTGTATGTCTCGGGATTAGAATGAAACGTTTGTTTCAGGGCAGTAGGGTTTCTGGATACTAGCAGCTGTCACATTACCAAACCGGCGATCAGTTAGTTGCAATGTGGAGAGTTATAAATGTAATAAGAATAAAATTCTAATTATACTATGAATAAAATTTCAGAACAGTAATATGTAGATGAATTTAGTTTGTTAATTGGTAGTGAGGATTGTAAGAGAGGACCGAAGTGTAAGCAAGGGAGAGGAAACAGAGATAATAGGCGAGATAGATTAATTGAGTGATCTGAGGAGATGGCAATAGTAACAACTAGCTGGTCTCAATATATGCATCATGAACAGCATGTCCAAGAGGGCGATGATAGTCCGTATATGAGTACGTGATTACCAAGTCTCTTCTTGAAGCAGTCCACTGAGGGGGCTGTAACTACCTCGGCTGGGAGAGCATTCCAAGTTGCGACGACTCGCAATGAGAAAAAGTGTGCACGAATCTGAGTATCCGCTCTTTGGTGTGCAGTCTTTCGAGGATTGCCTCGAGGGGAGTGGTGGTGATGCATCGGTAAGATGCTCACATTGCGATGGTTTGGCGTGTTTAATATGTCGTACGCCATAATCAGGTCACCTCTGATTCTCCTGTAGCTCAGTGGGAATAATCCCAAGAGCTAGAGTCTATCGTCGTAGGGTTTATTTTTCAACCCTATCACCCATTTGGTTGCTCGTCTCTGCACTTGATCCAAGAGATTAATGTCTCTTTTAAACAGAGGGGGTGCGATGACGTTGTGAACCTCCAAGTGTGGGCGCGCGTACGACTTAAACAGGGTTAAAAATAATTTCGGGGTGATAGCACCAAGCTGTCTTCGCATAAAGTGAAGAGTCGCATTTGCCTTCGCTGCATCCCCTACATAGTTTGGACTGGTGTGGAGGATTTCTGTGGTTATTAAACCAAGATCGCGCTCTGGGGAGACATTAGGGAGCGGACTTCCATTGAGAGTATAGGCCGTTTGCGTCATATGAGGCAGTAAATGCATGACGTGGCACTTCGGTTGGTTGAGTTTTAAACCGTTTTTCACCGCCCATTTCTCAATAGATGTAAGGTCCTTTTGAAGCAACTCCGCCAGTAGAACCTTAGGGGCTACTGCCGGTCCCAAGCCCGGATAAAGGAGGAGGGTTGGACATGGGGTTGGCGACCCCATTCCGTTGAAATCTCACTTGCCAAAAAAACGTTAACCAGAAAAAATAATTCAAACCATTTTAACTCTGCCCTGGGAGTTGGAAGAAGAATTATGACGTCACGTGATGAAAGCCGAGTTCCCTCGGAAGTCACGGGGCCGATGCCTCTTCTGACAACCAGAGCAACCATTCTTCTAGGGACATGGAACGTTCGTACATTGTGGGAGACTGGAAGACTATTTCAAGTTGCGGCAGAAATGAAAAGATACAACCTCGAGGTGCTCGGCATCAGTGAAACGCATTGGACACAGGTGGGACAACTGAGACTTGCTTCAGGGGAACTGCTGTTATACTCTGGTCATGAAGAGGAAAACGCTTCACATACACAAGGAGTTGCACTGATGCTGTCCAAACATGCACAAAAGGCACTGATAGGATGGGAATCTCATGGACACAGGATCATTAAAGCATCTTCAAAACAAAGAAAAAGGACATTACAATGAACGTCATCCAATGTTATGCACCTACCAACGACTACAATGACGACGTTTAAGATCAATTCTACGAAAGGCTGCAGTCAATCGTCGAGAAATGTTCATTAAAGGATTTGACGATTCTTATGGGAGACCTGAATGCCAATGTTGGAATGGACAACACTGGATATGAAGAATTCATGGGACGACATGGACTGGGAGAAAGGAACGAAAACGGTGAGAGATTTGCAAACCTATGTGCCTTCTACAAACTGGTCATCGGTGGCACAATATTCCCGCACAAACGCATTCACAAAGCCACATGGATTTGACCGGATCACACTACTCAAAACCAGATTGACCATATCTGTATCAACAAAGCGTTCAAAAGGACCATGGAGGATGTGAGAACCAGGAGAGGAGCTGATATAGCCTCAGATCACCATTTGCTGATCGCCAAAATGAAACTGAAACTAAAGAAGGACTGGACAACGGGACAGACGACATCACACAAGTTTAATACGGCCTTTCTTGGGAATACTGTAAAGCTCAACGAATTCAAAATAGCCCTCAGCAATAGGTTTCAGGCCTTTCAGGATCTACACAATGGAGAGGACTCAACACTGGAGAACAATTGGAAAGGGATTAAGGAGGCAATCACTTCAACATGTCAGGAGGTCCTTGGTTGCAAGAAGCACCATCACAAGGAATGGATCTCTGTTGATACTGTCGCAAAAATTGAAGAAAGGAGGAACAAGAAAGCAGCAATCGATGTCAGCCGAACAAGAGCGGAGAAAGTTACCGCACAAGCAGCATACACAGAAGCAAACAGGGAAGTGAAGAAGAGCATCAGAGCTGACAAACGAAAATACGTGGAAGATCTAGCAACGACGGCGGAAACGGCTGCAAGAGACGGAAACTTGAGACAATTGTACGAAACTACAAAGAAGCTCGCCGGGAACTATCGTAAACCAGAACGACCAGTGAAAAGCAAGGAAGGCAAAATAATCAGCAACACTGGAGAATAAACAAATAGGTGGGTAGAGCACTTTAAGGAACTATTGAATCGACCAGCTCCACTGAACACACCAAACATCGAAGCAGCATCCACGGATCTCCCAATTAATATTGGCGCACCTACGATTGAGGAGATCAGTATGGCCATCAGACAAATCAAGAACGGCAAAGCAGCAGGACCAGACAACATTCCAGCAGAGGCAATGAAAGCAGATGTAGAAGCAACCGCGAAAACATTTCACATCCTCTTCAAGAAGATTTGGGATGAGGAACAAGTACCATCAGATTGGAAAGAAGGATACCTGATCAGAATACCAAAGAAAGGCGACCTGAGCAAGTGTGAGAACTACAGAGGCATCACTCTTCTTTCAATACCAGGCAAAGTCTTCAACAGAGTATTGTTAAACAGAATGAAGGACTTCGTAGATGCCCAACTTCGAGATCAACAGGCCGGATTTCGTAAGGATCGATCGTGTACTGACCAAATTGCTACATTACGGATCATTGTGGAACAATCAATAGAATGGAACTCACCACTCTACATCAACTTCATCGACTACGAGAAAGCATTTGATAGCGTGGATAGGAAAACACTGTGGAGGCTTCTTCGACACTACGGTGTGCCTGAGAAAATAGTTAACATCATACGGAATTCTTATGATGGATTCAACTGCAAAATCGTACACGGAGGTCAGCTGACAGACTCTTTTGAGGTGAAGACCGGTGTCAGGCAAGGTTGCTTACTCTCACCCTTTCTCTTTCTCCTGGTCATCGACTGGATTATGAAGACGTCAACATCTGGAGGAAAGCACAGGATCAACTGGACAGTTAGGACGCAGCTGGACGATCTGGACTTCGCAGATGACCTGGCTCTTCTATCGCACACGCAACAACAAATGCAAGAGAAGACGACGAGTGTAGCAGCAGCCTCTGCAGCATTAGGTCTCAACATACATAAAGGTAAAAGCGAAATTCTCCGATGCAACACAACATGCACCAACCATATCACGCTTGATGGAGATGCTTTCGAGGACGTTAACAACTTTACATATCTGGGTAGCATCATCGACGAGAAAGGTGGATCGGACGCAGATGTGAGGGCTCGGATTGGCAAAGCGAGGGCTGCATTTCTACAGTTGAAAAATATCTGGAACTCCAAACAACTTTCAAACAAAACCAAAATCAGGATTTTCAATACAAATGTCAAGACAGTTCTACTGTATGGAGCGGAAACATGGAGAACTACGAAAGCCATCATCCAGAAGATACAAGTGTTTATTAACAGTTGTCTACGCAAAATACTTCTTATTCGTTGGCCAGACACCATCAGCAACAACGAACTGTGGGAGAGAACAAGTCAGATTCCAGTGAAGGAGGAAATCAGGAAGAAGCGGTGGAAGTGGATAGGACACACACTACGAAAAGCACCTAACTGCGTCACGAGACAAGCCCTCACATGGAACCCTCAAGGCAAAAGGAAAAGAGGAAGGCCAAGGAACACACTACGCCGAGAAATAGAGAAAGATATGAGAGGAATGAACAAACATTGGACAGAATTGGAGAGAGAAGCCAAGGACTGAGTTGGTTGGAGAAAACTGGTGAGCGGCCTATGCTCCATTGGGGGTAACAGGCTTAAGTAAGTAAAGTAAGTCCTTTTGAAGCTCAGTCGAATTCTCTTCGCTTCTAATAAACCTCCAGATCTTCGCATCGTCTGCGTAGATCAATGCCGGTGAGCTGACTGAGCCTAGCAGGTCGATAATAAATATCAGGAAGAGTAGTGGGCCTAGGATGGTCCCCTGTGAAATTCCCGAAGTGGATACTCTCCAACTCGCGTGCACTCTGTTTACCTTGGTGCAAAACTTTCTATTCTCAAGGTAGTTTCTGAGCCAAGATAGGAGTGGGTCAGTGAAGCCCATTTCCGCAACCTTTGCGATTAGGTGTGCATGGGATACTGTATCGAAGGCTTTTGTAAGGTCGAGAAATACTACGTGCACCGGTATTTTACGGTCCAAGCAGGATGTCCAACTGTCCCATGCGATGAGAAGATTAGATGCATACGACCTGCCTTTCCGAAACCCGTGTTGAGCTTCATGGAGTATTTTATTCATATCCATGTACTCCCTCATTTGTTCGTCCACTAGTCCTTCCATAACCTTTGATAATATAGGTAGTAGTGCGACTGGTCTGTAACAGGCTGGGTCCTTTCTATCTCCCCGATTTGAAGATTGGAGAGAGAGTAGCTTGCTTCCAT